TGAGCATCAACCTATGAACCAGGAGGTCATGGTTTGATTTCTGGTCAGGGCACATGCCTGGGTTGCATGCTCAATCCCCAGTGTGGGGACTGCAGGAGGCAGTCGATCAATGATTCTCTCTCAGCATTGATGTTTCTACCTCCTTCTCCCTCTCCCTTCCTCTCTGAAGTCAATAAAAATATATAAAAAAAAGAATGGCAGGCCTGCCCCACCAAGGAGGGCCTGCCCACGGGTGCTTACCATAAGGAACAGAAATGCAAGCAGTAGTATTTATTTATTTAAAAATATTTTTATTGATTTCAGAGAGGAAGGGAGAGGGAAAGAGAGATAGAAACATCAATGATGAGAGAGAAGCATTGATTGGCTGCCTCCTGCAGGCCCTCAACTGGGGACCAAGCCCACAACCTGGGCATGTGCCCTTGACCGGAATTGAACCTGGGACCCTTCAGTTCGCAGTCCGATGCTCTATCACTGAGCCAAACCAGCCAGGGCCAAGTGGTAGTATTTAATACAGTGATGCCGCACGCCATTAACTGCAGCACACTGAGTGTGAGCTCTTACCCATCAGACGGCCCACTTTCTCAGTGGAAAGTGAGTCTGGGACAGGAGAGACCAGAGCATTCCATCCAGTCCTCCTAAGAGAGGGGAGAGGGAGCACAAGGCCCTTCATCTCTCCATTGGGAATATACAACAAGCACCACTATTCCTCCCCTCACCAGCATCAGTTTTTTAAAGTAATGCTCTGTCTGTCCCTTGTAGGATGTCTCATTTGTGATAGAATCCAAGGGTTGATGATTGAAACAAGCTTTAATCTCAAAAGATGGTGGAATTTTGATCAGAGAAAAATGTTATGACTGGAAAACTCCCCATGGAGAAGCTGTAAGTCAATCCTCGGTTTATGCAAAGCAGCACCTGTGCCTTCGTGCTGATGATGCACATGTAGCAATTAGCGATGCTGAAATGCCAGTCTCACACCTGGGTTGGGGAAAGCCTTCTCCCTCTCTGGGAATGAGGGTGGGGAACTCCAGCTTAAAGAGAAACAAACATGAGAGACAGGTGTGGAAAGACGCTGAAAAGTTTGTGACTACTTGGCTTGGGAAAGTGCCTTTTATTTCCAAAGCAACATTTTTAAAAATATATATATAATTTATTGACTTTTTTACAGAGAGGAAGGGAGAGGGATAGAGAGAAACATCGATTAGAGAGAAACATCAATCAACTGCCTCCTGCACACTCCCTACTGGGGATGTGCCCGCAACCAAGGTATATGTCCTTGACCGGAATCAACCCTGGGACCCTTGAGTCCACAGGCTGACGCCCTATCCCAGTGATGGCAAACCTATGACACGGGTGTCAGAGGTGACACACAAACTCATTTTTTTGGTTGATTTTTCTTTGTTAAATGGCATTTAGATATATAAAATAAATATCAAAAATTTAAGTCTTTGTTTTATTATGGTTGCAAATATCAAAAAATTTCTATATGTGACACGGCACCAGAGTTAAGTTAGGGTCTTTCAAAATGCTGACACGCCGAGCTCAAAAGGTTCTCCATCACTGCTCTATCCACTGAGCCAAACTGATTAGGGCTCCAAAGCAACATTTTTAAGAAAAACGAAACTTTTCCATGTGAGAACTTCTTTCTTTGTACTTGTATTTTATATTGAAATGAATGCAGTATAGCAATGACCATGAATGACTTGGAATTAGGCAAAGTCAGGATTAGGATCTGGCTCTCTTACCTATGGGGGACCTTGGCGAGTTACTTCACCTTTCTGAGCTTCAGTTTCCTCATTCAGAGGGGAGATAATCATAGTGATCAACAAGGTTGTTGTGCAGATTAGAGATACTGGATATAAAGTGCCTGGTCCAGAATGAATTGTGATGATGATGGCATTTCTTTTTCTAAATACTTTATTCTGCATCACAGTGGGTGAATTTGCTAGTTTTATTTGCACACCACACTAAATCTATGAGGATATTTTATATTTGTTCCTTTATGTGGTCAGAAAAACTAGGTCAGATTTTAAAGTGGGAATTACGAGATCATGATCCAGATAAATCCTTTCTGGTCTGTGTTATTGATTTCTCCAGAGAATTAGGCCATCCAACCATTTGCAGATTTATTGGAGTCAGCATTGAAGTGCCAGATGTGGTTATTATGACAGAATACTGCCCAAAGGGAAGTTTGATGGATGTTCTGCTCAATGCTGACATTCCTCTCAACTTGGGTTTTCAGTGAGAGCCAGGCATTTGAGTAGTGGGAGATACAACCAAGCCCTTTTTCCATCAACGTTCCAAAGGATCTATTGTAATGCAATGAATTCATTGCTTTTTCTTGGAGGAGGTTTTATGTTATATCTTGGGGCACAGATGGGAATGAATGAGTCATTATATCTAGACAGGGATATCTAGAGGGAACAGGATTTTGAATCGGGCCTACCCACCGTGCCCAGGGAAGACCTGGCCGGAAATGCTGGCAGAAAGTCCTTTAGCATCTAAAGAATATAAGCTACAGGCAATAGTAAGTCATAGCAAGTAGGCACTGGCTAGGTCTAATTACTTTATCTAACAAACACTGGGCTAGACCCTGAAGGTCACAAAAATAAACAAGAAATGTTCCCTACATTCAAAAATATCTTGGTCTGGTAGGAAAGACAAATAAGTAGAGTTATAGAACAGTTGATAGAAGTCCTTAGGAGAGTGTCAAGTGTATGGGAGTAGCAGTTAGTCCAGACTGGGCATGGGAGTGGGCCAAGGAAGTTTTCTCAAGGTGGAGGTGGGATAAGGAAGAGTAGAAGTTTGCCAGGAGAAGGGGAGAAGAAAGGCCATTCCAAAGAGAGGGAACAGCATGTGTAAGAGAGGATGGTCCAATCTGGGATTGTAAGTAGATTAGTATGACCTGAGTTTAAAGATTAAGGTGGATGTGGGAGGTAAGGGTGGTGAGAAATGAGACTAGAAAGACAAGTAAATAGTCTTTAAATGGGCCAAAGTAGATATGATAATTTAGTATTTGATAAAAATGGAATTTCAAATAAGTGAGGAGAGATTGTCTGAATAAAGGATTCAGGATGACTGACTATCCATTTGGCAAAAATAACATTATATCCCTAGTGCACACATTTAACCAAAATTAACTTGGGGACTGCTTTAAATTTTCAATAAAAAGTGAAACTTTAGAGGTACTAAAAGGAAACACTCATTTATGATTATATAATACCACAATGAAAACTAACAGGCAAATGAGTAATTGGGAAAAGCTTTTCTAACATGATCTCTTACTGAGTATAACTAAGAGTTCAGGTTGATATCCATAGACTAGTGGGTATTAGCAATGTAAAAAGCATAACAACCTCTAGTCTGTAACTATAGACAAATCTATGAACATCTAAATTTGTTTTTAAATATATACCAGTGAACCAGATTTACTTGGAAAAAAATTCATTTTTTTAACAGATAATTATGACCTTATAGAATTAACAAATTTGGGTGTAGCTAAGTTTATCTTAAACAATGTCTCCACTATCTCTGCATTTCAGAGAGGAAGAGAAAACTGTGTGGATTTTTAATTTGTTCTGGGTAAGGAATTTCACATCACAATGACCTGTGTATCTTTTTGTAGCTATGCCATGATTTTGTTGGAGGTTGCCATCTGAAGTGACCCAGTCTCGGTAAGACGCTATTGAACATATTTTCAAGTGAGCCATCAGGGAGTCTGCTTCTCCATTGCTCAGCAGCAAACAGTGTGCCCTATCCTGACATAGAACAATATTGTGTCTGATTTGTTCATATATGTTTAATAGAAAATAAGATATATCTATTCTCCTGCAGCTCTTTCTCCTCCTCATCTATAGTTAAACTAGAGGCCCAGTGCATGCGGGGAGGTCCCCTCGGCCCAGCCTGCACTCTCTCCAATCCAGGACATCGCTCTCACAATCCTGGACTGCTGGCTCCTAATCGTTCACCTGCCTTCCTGATCGCCCCTAACTGCCCCCCCTTCTGTCCTGGTCACCCCCAACTGTCCCTCTCTGCCAGCCTGGTCACCTCTAGCTGGCCCCCCTGCTGGCCTGGTCACTCCTTACTGCCCCCCTTCTATCCTGGTCACCCCCAACTGTCCCTCTCTGCCAGCCTGGTCACCTCTAACTGCCCCCCCTGCTGGCCTGGTTGCCCCCAACTGCCCTCCCCCACTGGCCTAATCGCCCCCAACTGCCATCCCCTGCCGGTCTGATCACCTCTTACTGCCCCTCCCCCCCACCTGCCTGGTCACTCCCAACTGTCCCCCTCTGCCAGCCTGGTCACCCCTCACGGCCCCCCCACCGGCCTGGTCGCCCCACGCAGCCTGCTTGTTCAGTCATTTGATCATCCCTCACTAACCCCCCTGCCGGCCTGGTCGTAGGCAGCCATCTTTGTGAGGGCGTGAGGGTTAATTTGCATATTACCTCTATTATATAGGATAGCATATGTATTTGGTTTGAAAAAGCACTGAACCAAAATCCCATACTGTAAAGTCTCCTGGGTACTAGGATGAGTTCCTCCATCCAAATCTAGGCCTATTGAGTTGAAGGAGAGCAGCACTAAAAATACTCTGGCTGCATCTGGAACACAGGGACCCTTTGGGATTTGTTTCCTTTGACCACATTCCAATCATAATGATGTTGAGCATGGATTTTATTCCCCAGGATGCGAGTTCTTGTCCTTTAATAAATCTTTCTCACCCTCAGGCTTTGTTTATTTATTTTAAGAAATTTCTTTCCAGATATATGAATTCCAGCAGATCACAAAAATTATACATATTTCAACAGAGACCAAAACTGTCATTAAGACATTGTCTATAGAGAAATGGGAGGCGAATGAGGGTGGGGCATGGTTCTTTGAAATTATTTTTCATTTTATTATTTTTAATGTAAAACCTTTGGCAATTGTGTTGACCAATAGTTTCACGTGCTTCTGAATGCCATTTAACAGATAAACCGAGTGACATGGGGATTTCAACCAGGAGGATCAAACATTATTGACTGACCTTGATACTTTTAAATAGATGCAAAAAGGAACAGAAGGAAAGATGATAGTACATAATGAGAAAATCTGTCTCATTTCTCCCAATTATCTGGTTACTGCCCAGCTTTAATATATGTGTAAGTAAATTAATTTCCAATAACCATGCAATTTAAGTGTAATTCCACAGAGATGGGAGAAAAAACACGAAACAAACTACCACACTTTATGGGGATTGACTCATACTAGTCATAATTTGTCATCAATATCTGAAAGTACATTCTCTCAGAGTGCAGATGAGCAAGGTCATTTCTACACTGAGCAGTAAACCACATATGGAACTTGTCTATGGCAGGGGCTAGGCTGACATCACTCTGTCCTCTACAGGAGTGAGTGTGTGGGGAGAGGGTGTGGGCTGCAGGGGGCAGTGGGCAATAAAGGGCCTGAGCAGCAGTTAGAGTCAGTCAGCCGTGCTGAGGGGGGTTTAGGAGGGGTCCTTTGCTGGAGATTCTTAAATGCCAGGTTGAGAAAGTCACATGTGATCAGAAAGGAGCGCTATCAGCTCTTTACTAGTGGGAATGACATTAAAGAAAAAAGATGCCCTTTACCTTCCCACCTGGCTTAGATTACATGGTCTGTCATTGATATAGATTCCTAACTCTCTTCTGTTGTCTTATCACAAACTGACAAGAAGAGAGAGGTGGCAGAATAGAATTTTCTTTCCTTTGTGGTTAATTAAGGCACTTAGTAAGGCCTCCAGAGTGAATCTCATAAGGGAATGTCTAATTTACAGTGTAATTCTAAATTCTTGTTAACAGATAAATTGATACACTTGTAATTTGTCCTTTTCACCTGCCAAGGGGTTGAATCAACCACCTCAGCTTATCCCTTTGGGGTCATCCAGAACTAGAGCTATTAGCTGTAAGTCACCTTATAGATTATTTATTTGTGCCATTATTTTCAGGTGAGGCATTTGAGACCCAGAGAGACTGAGAGACATCTTTAAGGCTCGAGCTCACTACTCCCTTATTCCCATTTAGTTCTCTGGTGGAAGGACACAGATTCAGCCCTGGAATCCCGTTTCTTCCACTTCCATTATAATTTTAGGCAACCTCAATATCCATGAGGATAATGTGTCCAATACCATCCTGTCAATTCTTTGACCCCCATCTTCTCCCATCATCTTGTCCTTCACCTGCCTCAGCTACCCATTTCTATATCTCAATCTGAGATATCATCATTGCCCATAATTGGATCTCCTCCAAATTCTCCATTTCAATATCTCACTCTTTGACTTCCACCTCCCATTTTCTATCGAATGCCCTTTAATTTCCCAACGCCACCAATGTATCAGGCTGGGAGGTCCAATCCATTGACCTGATTGCACCTCACTTCCTCTCTTATGCCCTTTACCTTCCCACCTGGCTTAGATTACATGGTCTGTCATTGATATAGATTCCTAACTCTCTTCTGTTGTCTTATCACAAACTGACAAATTATATATGTTTGGTGGATTGCTATGTCCCATCTCTGGACTATAAATTCCTTGAGGGCAGGGCCTTTGGTTTGCTCTGCTATATCCTGAGTGCCTAGATCATAGTTGAGACATGGTAGGTGCTCAGTAAATACTAATTGAATGAATGAATGAATGAATAAATAAATAAATCAGTAAAAGCAAGGATAGCTTTCAGAGGGGTTAAAACTATATTTTGCTCTGAGATTTTTGCACATGCTTTTTTTGATTGTTTCTCTTTTTTAAAAAAAACATCTTTATTGATTTCAGAGAAAAAGGGAGAGGAAGATAGACATAGAAAACATCAATGATCTTTCATCATTGATTGGCTGCCTCCTGCACACTCCCTACTGGGGATGGAGCCACAGCCTGGGCATGTGCCCTGACTGGGAATTGAACCATAACCTCCTGGTCGATACTGAACCACTGAGCCACCATGGCCAGCTGATTATTTCTAATGCTGTTTTTTTTTTTTCTTCATTTCTTTTCTCCCCTCCCACAGAAAGAAGAGCCTTGTTCTGTGGAGTGTCCTCTTGATGACAGAGAAGCCTGAGAATCGCTGTCCTTGCCCTTCAGAGTGTGCAGAGGTTAAGAAAGTGAGGAAGGAAAGGGAACTTCTTGAGTTCTAACTCGAGCCATCACATCAACTAAGCATGAACTCATGTTATGTATTGGAAAGAGATGTATCAACAAGAGTAATCTCTTCCCTCAAGTAACAACTTCTTGGCATTTTTCTGATAGAGATAATCCAGTAGGCAATTAGAATATGTGTTAGGAACTTGGAACAGGGGCTCAGATGGAGACAGAAATTTGGGGACCACCACTATCTATGGCTATAATGGAGCTGTAGATGGAGATGAAGCCTCTTAGGGAGGAGATGTGGAGAGAAAAGAAAAGAGAGGGCAGAATCCTGAGATAGAAGCCCAGCATTACTGTAGAGCTCTGGTGCCATAGACACACGATGACAAAGTGACACATATGAGGATGAAAACAAATCTACAGATGCAGCTGTGGTGCCATAATACCCATTGCTTTGGGATTTAGATAAGCTTATGGGCTTTATGATAATGTGTGTAATTGATAGGGATTAAGTTAATAGAACATAAAATGAGAATTGTGACTGTAAAAGGGTTACGTACTGTTCATGGGACAGCTAAGGTTAAAAAAGGCATAGAAACCCAAAAATAGATGATTCCAAATTGCTCAGTTCTGTAATTCTGTTCAGAATATCCACAAATCAGTGTGTGCTTGTTATTCTTGATCACTACAGTTGATTGGGAGGTGAAGAAAAAACAACCCACCCCAAAGACCCATGTTTGGACAAGTAATGAAGCTTTTATACAAGATCCCAGCAAAATTATTCCGGACATGATGATTTCTTTGTTAAGCTTGGGTGACTTCCCAGTTCTCACTAAGTGCATCCATTTAGGTATGGATTTACCAGAGCATTCAGGGCAAGTCTCAGTGGTGCACCCCTTCAGAACTGGTTTGGTTACTGATCACAAGGAGATGATAATGATAAGCCAAGGGCCCCCTATGGAAATGCCACTGCTTTCTAGGTGCTTTCAAAGAGTCAGAGACTATTACACAGGGAGCAAATTGTTCCCGTGAAATAATTTCTCTTTGTGATTGATGCTTAGATTGGAGAAGTGCAGCAAACACCTGAAAGTACTTGTGGCAGAAAGGACCCATGACTTAATGCATGAACAACAGAAAACCGGCTGCCTGCTCTATAGTAAGTAATGTCTTATTGAAATACATGTCAATATAAAGCCTGATTTGGTTAGTTCATGAATTTCTACTTAATTTGTTTCTCTGGAATACTCTTTTCTGAGAACAATTACTGAAGCCATGGAAATAACAATTTTACATTCTTGTTTTAAAATCCTGTGTTCTCCTTGCATGGATTTTAAAGGGTCAGTTTTCATTTGCACTAGGCTTTCGGTAACTCTGAGTCCTTTTAACAGAAATCAGAGTCTGTAAAAGGTCGAAGGTAGAAGACAAATCTTCACCTGTAATACCAAGGAAAGGGTTTAATGTCAGCACTGGATCTTGGGCATCTGTACCTGAGTCTTGCATGGAAGGGCCCAGCCTAAGGGAATGGAGGTGGAAGAACAATTTTCCTAGGAAGCTGAAGGGATGGTGCTCAGGCAAGTAGAAGATTTCAGCCCTAGCAATGGAGTGGAGCAGTATGATTTAGATATGGTTCAGAACTTGGGCTCTGGAGTGAGCCAGAGCTGGATTAATGTCCCAGCTCTGCCTTTTTCTAGTTTCATGATTTTTGAGCAAGTCACTTTATTAGCCTTAGTTTCTTTATCCCATGAAATAGAAATTTAAAACTGTACCTACTTCATAGGAATATCACATTAAGTGAGTTAATTAAGTTAATGCAGAGGTAATGCTCTTAGCAAGTTTCTGGTACAATGTGAAAGGTTCCGAGTGGGCCAGGTTCGCGCACCTATGACATGAGGCCATAATGTATCAGAAGAACTTTTATCCCAGGCACCTGGGTGCAGGTGGATGGAATCTGAAAAAGGAATCCGTGGTGACTGAAGGGGGAGGCAGACTTTTATTAACCTCTGCCTGCTGCAAGCAGTTCTGCTGCTGTACGGGTCCGGTCTGTCCTTGGTTCCTCCCAGCAGCTGATGTCTAGTGGTTATCTAGGCTATGCCGAGCTCAAAGGTGCAAACTTTCTGCAAGATATCTGCTAAGCACAATAAGTTTCCTTTGTCCCGTTTTATTCTCTTTGCCCTTTCACAATGAAGAGCTCAATGTATATGATTATGATGATGATGATGATGATGATGATAATGATAGACAAGGATCTTTGTTTGAGGGACCTGCCGGAGAGGTTTAGGTGCTGAGACAAGTGTCACCAGTATCCCAACAGGTTGGTCCCATTATCCAAGGACCAAAGTTTTCTGTCCTCTGGGTTGCCCTGTATATGCCAGGCATGGAGGTTCCCCATGTGGTTATTGTAGAAAGCCCAGTTTCCTCTAGCACAGTGCCGGGGTCCAACCCCAGCGGGTCCAGGGGTCCCCAAAGGTGTGGACGGAGTCGGCGAAGAAGGAATGACGCGGAGACAGTGTTCAGTTGATCAGCAGCCTAGCCAGGATCTCCAGCCGGCTCTCCAGCCAAGTTCTGGTCTGGATCTCCAGCGAAGTTCTGCTTAGGATCTCCAGCTAGGTTCTGTGTCCATGTTCTCTTGCTAGGTTCTCCAGCCAGGTTCTGTCCAGGTTCTCCAGCCAGGTTCAGTCACCAGGTTCTAGTCAGGTTCTCTTGCCCATTTCTGTAGTCAGGTTCAGTCCAGGATCTTTTGCCATGTTCTCTCGCTAGGTTCTGTCTCTAGGTTCTGAGGCCAGTTTCTGTCCAGGAACTTTTGCCATGTTCTCTCCAGCGAAGTTCTTCTGTCTCTAGAGAACGTTCTGTGTAGGTTCTGTGCCTAGGTTCTCTTTCTCTTGGTTCCGTATTCTAAGTTCTGTGTTCTAAGTTCTGTGTTCTAAGTTCTGTGTGTTGCTGTCTTGTTACATCTGTATTTATACCAGTTGATTCAATCCTATCAATCTCTATTACAAAGGTTAGGGCGTTTCTTATCTCCATTCCAGGGAGTAAAGATTATGTAGCTTAAGCATGATTGTTCATAGTTAAAGTGATTAATTACCCGCCTGGCACTTAGTTAAGAGGTTTTATTCCCTCCCTAACTTCAGGGGAAAATCCCTACCTGGGGAAACAACCTTTCTCAGAGACCTTGGTTAAAACACATAGTGCCAAGAAGGTGAGCAAACATATTAAGAACAGTATGCCACATATGCCAGGTCCCTTGAAACAGCAAGCATGGACCGGCTCCCGGCAGCACAGTACTTCTCAATTCTGGCTACACATTACAACCCTCTGGAGCAGTGGTTCTCAACCTTGGCTGCACATTAGAACCACCTGGGAATCTTTTTAAAATCCTGATTTCTGGGCCTCATCCTCCGGAAATTCTGTTTCTTTGTTACTAATGTTGTGGCCCCACCCCATAACAAAGAAACAGAATTTCTGGAGGATGAGGCCCAGAAATAAAGATTTTAAAGATTCCCAGGTGATTCTAATGTGCAGCCAAGGTTGAGAACCACTGCTCTGGAGCTTTCATAATGAACTGGGCCCCACCTCTCTGATATCCTGTGAAAGTTCACTGGTAGATTCTAATGTGCAACCCTACTTGGAAAACTACTGACTAGCAGTTTAACAAGGAAACTAAACATTGTTTTAATGCAACAGAATCAGTAAACACATAGTAGCAAGATACTTGCCAAACCCACAATTCTTTTATTTTTTAAAATATATTTTATTGATATTTTACAGAGAGGAAGGGAGAGAGATAGTTAGAAACATCGATGAGAGAGAAACATCGATCAGCTGCCTCCTGCACATCTCCCACTAGGGATGTGCCCGCAACCAAGGTACATGCCCTTGACCGGAATCGAACCTGGGACCTTTCAGTCCGCAGGCTGACGCTCTATCCACTGAGCCAAACCAGTTTCGGCAAACCCATAATTCTTTACTAATCAGTTGGAATAACTGGTTTGTTTTCTCTTTGACCTCTTTTCAGCATTTGACATCACTGACTCCTCCCTTCTTTTTGAATCTTCTCCTCCCTGGATGTCCCTACTTCCTCTCTCTTCTTCACCTCCTACTGCCCCTCAGCCTTCCTCTCGGTCTTTTCAGCAGCTCTGCATCTTTCATGCACACCTTGGATGTTGACAGTTTCCTGGGGTCTATCCTTGGCATGCTTGATAGACATAGAGGAGTTACTGTTTTCCTTTGGGTGGTGTCGCCAGATGGGGATGGAGCCCATAGTGGGTCTGCCTTGGGCTGCCTGGCAGTGGGTGGATTCTTGACTTTGTGCAGGAAAGATTTCACAATATGAATGCACGTTATTTTGAAAGTACATTTATTAAAGCTGGAGACAGTGAAACAAAGGTCTTAGGGTAGGAGCAACAGGAAGGAGCCTAGATGGTGCTCTGCTTTGATCCCTAGAAAAGCTATAGGAAAGAAGTGAGCCAAGGTGGGACTGCTGTTAGTTCACTGGAAGGTTAGAGAAAAGGGGCATTGGAAACAGGTTCGGGGGTTAGCACAGGATGAGCTGCTGCTGCTCACTTCTCCCTCTTTGCAAGTTTCTTTAGGAGAAAGAAAGTAAAATGTTCATGTCCGAGAATAGGCATGGGTGTGCTCTAGAGAGAGCCTGTGCTGGTATCCTTTGTCTTGAGGGTGTGTTTTTGGTTTTTGTTTTTTAAAATCTCCCTTCTGCTGGTAAGAATCTTCAGGGAGGGTTTCAGCAGAATATTCATCAACTTTCCAGGTGCATTTTTAATATGCCGATGCATCAAACTGAGCATATGGGGAGTTTGGGTTTATTCTTTGGTTGGCTTTCCTGTTTTACTTTCATCTTGAGTCTGTCAGGCTCTAATTGTTTTTTGTTGTTGTTATTTGTTCCCCTGACTTCATCCGTTCTTGGGTTTAGCTGGCATAATTGGCATTAATTGGGTCTCTGTTACTCTGACCAGAGTGATTTAAGCTATTTATTCTCTGCTCAGGAAGGACAGATATAAATCATTTGTTCTCAGGTTTCCTTGGTTAGGGAATATAAGGTCTTGTGATCCACAAGCTGGCTATAAATTGGTCAAATTGTTTGGCCTTGTTTGATTATCTTATCTCAGTTTCCCTATTCTATTTGCCCAGGAATTTTCCTACCTTCTTTACTATCCTGCCTCAGTGGGATAAGTAACTTTTCAAATCTATCTGAAACAATCCCCTTTTGGGCAAAGACATGTCAATACTTCCTTAAACCCTCCACTGGCCATGGGAAGCCCGGGTTTTATATTCAACTAACACATATATGTGGGTAATTATATACATTTCTATTTCCCTAGCAGAATTATGTGTTATTTATGTGTGTGGAATGAATTTTTGTGTCTCCAGTGCCTACCCCAGTGCCTGGGACATAGTAGGTGCTCTTTAAATATTGATGGGAAGCCTGAATGCATTTTGTATTTTCCCATTAACAATAAATACAAGACATAACAACATAGCCAGATCATGATGTATTTATAAGTATTTAGCATATTACCAGCATAGGTTATGAATATGTATATCACAAATGGTCTATTGAGATAGAAATTCCTGAGGGAAATACAAAAATATCACCCTATTCCTTTCACTGAAAAAAATACAAAATTCAGTTTTCCCACTATTATTAGACCACAATAAATATTCATCCTTTGTCCCTCCAGGGGGGTCCCAAGCTTCCTGCAAGTGACATGTGTGCTAAATATGCCAGTAAATCACTGATTTTACTCTGAAGCCAGATTGGTGATCTTAGTTAGTGTGCTTCTTCCAATAGTTCACAGATTCAAATAACTTTAGATTTTTAATCTCTGAGACTAGAGGAGGCAGGGTAAAATTGTTCATGTACCAATTTGAGTTTAGGAAAAAAACTCCTGTGAAGAAGATAATAGCCTGCTTTTGGGAACAAAAGGGCCCATAAAACCCCCTAAAGTTCAAAGCCTCAGAGCTTTCTGCACAATGCTGGCTGCTTACACCAACTAAATTATAAAGTAGCAGCTGGGCCTGCATAACTGACCCTTAGAGGTCCTGGTTCCAATAATAGTGTCTCCAGTTAACTTCAGTGTGAGGTGAGCGAAGCCCCATGAGAATGCCATTACAGGTAGAACTTCCATTTCTTCAATTAAC